AATTAAAAAAAAATAAAATCACAACTGTGAAATAAAATTGAGTAGAAAATGTCACAAGCATGAAGGAGACAGTCTTAACTTCAGCCACTTAAATACAGAGGTTGAAGTGAAAAAATACCTGTATAGAACATATTATTAGCTGGCGGTTAAATGTGCTGAGGAAGAATCTTGTGACCCACTTGACAGACCTCCCTGGGATAGCAGTCTCCCTTTCCCTCTGCTATGGCCTTGTCCCTTACTTGTTTTCTGTCTTTCTCTAAGCTGGAAAGAGATAGTCTATGCTATGCCTTATCAGCATTTTAGTGTGCCAGGGAAACGTTTAACAATACAGATCTGCTTATCTCTCCCTTGGTAGAGGGAAAGTGTCAATGTTTTAATTCCCTCTCTTTTTCTAGCAACCAATTACTATAAAACTTGTAGGAACTTATTTTATAGTTTCTGTTCTTTTTAAAATTTGCTTGGAATTAGTTCAACAAATTTGGAACACTGTGAAACAATTTTAACTTACTCTTGAAATGTGTCTTGCATGCATTTGTCTTTTTTACTTATTCGTCAGTGGTGTAATAATACAGATGTTAGCATTTTGCTACCTGCCTTGCTAATTTACTTTAGGATATAAAAAAAGAGTAAGCATAAAAAAAGAAATGCTGTGTATATCCCAGAAGAACTATTATGTGCTAATAACACAGCATCTTACATAGAGCTCAGCAGGGATGAAGAAAAGCCCTCACAACAGAAACGCAAAATCTCATTTTCACAAACAGGAGATGGGGATAAGAATAACCTAATTCCTATCATTTCCTATAAAATCAAATACAGTCTTCACACTGAGCATAGTAATATTGTTTATACCATAAACAATGTTACTGCTCTTCCTAAAAAGCAAAGAAATATGATGCATGATCCCAAGATAATGCCAAAGACAGTGATAATGACAGCAACAGTTAAGTTTACTTGCTGCTAGTAAATTATTCACTTATATGGGCAAGTACACAAGAGTCAGCAAGGAAAATTCCAACTAGACCTCAGGGAAAAAAGTCTGCAATGAGTATTGCCAAAGGCTGAGACAGGTTGTCCAGAGGGGCTGTAGAATTGTCATCCTTGGATATATACAGACTGTATTTGGATAAAGCCCTAAGAAATCTGATTTACTTTAATGTTAGACCTGCTTTGGGAAGGAGCATTGGACCAGATGGTGTCCAAATGTCTCTCTGACCCAATCAGTATATGGTTCTAGCCCAGATACTGTTCTAGTGTATAGGGAATTTAACAGTGGAATTCAAAGATTATATTTGGTCTGTTTTTCATACCTGAATACATATGCAGTAATTTCAGGTAAGTTGACAGCAGTTTGAGGGAGTTGATCCTCCTCTCTGTTCAGCATGGATGAGGTCACATCTGGAGTGGTGTGTCCAGTTGTGGACTCCTCTGTAGGAGAAAGAAAGTCCAGCACAGGGCTGCAGAGAAGATTAAGGGGCTAGAGCATTGTTCATATGAGAAGAGACTGAGAGTGTGGGGACTGCTCAGCTGGAGAAAAGGCTCAGAGGAATCTTAACCAGCATGTAAATTGTTGATGGGAGAGAATGAAGGTGAAGTCAGACTGATCTTAGTAGTGCCCACTGACAGGACAAGGGGTAATGGCTGTGAACTGAAACACATGAAATCCCACCTGATCCAGTAAAGGTGAATGCTGTGGCTTCCCACTAAATATCATCCAGATTGCCTCACAATGCCTATTAAGAAAACTAGTGATTGTTTTGTTTGTTGGTTTGTTTCAATGACTGGTTTCTTGGTTGGGTGGTTTTGTTGTTGGTTTGGTTTTTTTTTCCCATTATTTTCCCAGTCCATATGTGTCCTAGTAATTTTTCCATCTACAAAATACAAGTAACTCTTTGGAGGACTGGAGGGTAGTTGGAGACTTGCCTATGAACAGACTCTGGTGTAGTTCTCTAGGGATGTAAGGTTCTACTCATGTGCATCTACTTGCAGAATTAGAATTACGTATTTCATATGTTACTGAGAACTTGGCTGTATTGATCAATAGTTATCTTCTCTCTGGAATTTACTTGAGAACTGACATAAAACGTTGGTACTTTTAAAAAATGTTGGAGCTGCATTAATGAGTAAAATTAGTGAAATGCCTGGAGTTGAGAAGTTCTTATGTGTTTTGGCTGTTCCTTTAAAAAGAAACATTTTATTCCTATTAAATGTAAATAATTACTCTGTTTCACATTAGGATGATCCAGTAGTTCTTGGGGGATTGCAAGAAACTACTCCTTTTCTTTGATAATGCTTAGGAAGCAGTCTTTAGTTGCTATGTGTTAGGTGAGCTCATGTATGTACAAAAGGACTTAGTTTTTTGAAAAAGTAAGTACTGTGTAAGTAAGGACACAGAGAACTGCTGAGTACAAGTCAGTCTGTAGGAAAGTCAGAAGTTTAAGAAACACGGAGAAGTGGGAGCAGCTGTATTTTCATCACTGAGTCAAGGCAAGGGCCTTCATAATATGAAATGACTGCCTTGTTTGATTCAAACACTATTCCTCTGTACCTTTTAACTGCTGCAAGTAGATCAAAATGATCACATCACTTATACAGTCCTATATTAAAAAACCCCGAACAACACTATTGTATGCTAGGAGTTAACTACCTCTGAAATAATTCATAAGTGTCTATTAACATAGTATACTTCCTCATGATATAAAGTTAGGAGCAAGTATTTTATTTAAGAAAATTTATTACACTATTTTCCTCCGATAATGAATTGAGAGCTTCTGTACAGCTTCTTGTTTGTTCTCTGTGTTGTGTTCTTGAAAGGTGCCAAATTCCTTAACTTTCATCATGTTCAGTGAGAGTGAAGGGCACTCAGCATCTTGTAAATACAGCTTGGTGCCAGCAGGACTAAGCTCTTACACTGTGAAGAGATGAGGCATGAATTTGTCATGTACCCTGTCACTTACCTGGCATGGGACTAGTAGGCCTTAAAAGAAGGACTTCAGTATGTCTTGTGGAAATCTGCACCAGTGGTGTATGTCTGAAGTGTCACAACTGCTGTGCAGTTATTACTGTATGGACTACACAGCATAATAAATGTTGTAACTCTGCGTTTTTAATGTGCTTGAATAGAACATTGTGTTACTGTGTAAACATGAGCTAGCTGATAAATTTGTTTACAGATCTTTTTTTTTCCCCAGTATGGACACTTGATAAACTCTGCTTTGAAATCTCACTTAGCACACAGTTTATTTTTAAAACAAATCTTACCACACACAGTCATTCTGAAACAGCCAGGAGAGCATCAGCAGTTGCTTGTTTTAAATAATAATGCTGTATCATGCTTGGTCTACATTCAAGCGGGGCTGCTCTCATGCTCCTTCTGAAAAACATCAACTTCTGCTAAACTGACAGAATATGACTGTTAATTAAAATATGCCCAAGAGAGATATGTATAGTCTATGCTGTCTAGTTTCTATGTTAGAGTTTAGTGTTCTCTAACCTTTGAGTCAGCAGTGTGTGCTTTATAATATAATAATGCAAACAATGGTTAACAACAGCAGACCAAAACCATCAAAACGCAAGTTTTTGTCGAACTGTATCACATGCGACTTTGAAAGAGCTTTATAAACTTCTGTTCCTGTTGTGGAGAAATAATCTCATCCAAGTGGAACATTCTGTCAGGTAAAATTATGCATGTTCTGTTGAGTTACTCCGTGTCAGGTTTATCACGCATTCACCACTGCACAGTATCTTTGTCAGTTTGTAAGGCACCTGACTCAGCCCTGCAGTTGACCTGATGTAACTGGAGATCTATTGGATCTGGATATGCCAGAAGTAGGAATGGATGCAGGAGCAGGCCTAAATTACTTCTGTTGTTGCAGCACATACCCGAGGATGAAAGGGAGACTGTACTGGAGGGCTAAGGCAAAATGAGTATTTATTTCAAATGCAGAATGGAAAAGCAAAGACCTAACACAGTCACAGGTAATGTGAGGGTATTGCAGCCAATACAGAAAATGCCTCCTTATATTTTTATTATTAAAAGGAGTGTAGAAGAAATTTTCTAGAAATAGTGCAATTGAAAACTATCATTAAGGCAGCTTTAGTTTTATGGATAATTTCCTGGTAATATGGTGCGTTTCTTATAACAGGGGAGCAAGAAGCAGATGCGCTGAACCACGGAGGCAGCATTCACTCGTGCTTCATGACTCTGGCTAGGCGGTCCCGGCTAGAGGGAAGCACATGTGTAACGTGTGTAACTGTTTACAGGATTTGGGCCTAACTTAGTCCAGGGGGTTGGTATTTTCTCTGGAGGGATGGAAATGGGTGTAAGTTTCACCCTTTAGGGGCAGGAGCTGAAGTTGTCTTCAAGAGGTGATGTGTGGTCGGGCGCGGGCTGCGCCGCGGCCGCTCCGCCGCTTTACCTATGACCGGCAGCAGCTCCGCTCCCACTTCTGCCTGCTCCCCCCTCGCACCCAACCCCTCCGCCCGCCCAGGTGCCGCTGAGGGGCTGCCGGTGGCTCCCGCCCCGGAGCGGCGCTGCGGGCCGTGGCGCAGCAGGGCTCGGCCGGGGAGCAGCGCCTGCGCGCCCGTCCCGCCCTGGGACCGGCCGCGGCAGCCTAGCGGGGAGGGCAAGAGGGAGGGCTCGGAGGGGGCGGGAGGCGCACGCCGTTTCTCTTTCTCTTTCGCTGGGCGGCCGCGGGGCGCCAGGTACTGGGGGGGGGGACGGGACGGGAGGCGCCGCAGGTACGGGGAGCGGGGGACAGGAGCCGGGGGAGAGCTCGGCCGCCGCCCTCTGCTGCCGGCGGGCTCTCGCGGCGCTGGGGCGGGGTGTGGGGGGTGAGGGCCCCGCCCCGCCGGGGCCCTCCGAGGCCTGCGGAGCTCGGAGCCGGTCGGCGGGGCCCGGCGGAGCTGGCCCGTGGTCCCTGCACCTGTCAGTGAGGCTGCTTGTCCCGCCGCCGGCCGTTCGGCTGCCGGGCACCCCGCTGCTGTTATGTAAATAACAGCCGGGCTGCGTGCCCCTGCCAAGTTCACGGTGACTCGTGTCCTCTGGGGCATCGTCGCTGTGCTGCCGGGTTCACGCACCTCTGTATTTCCATGTGTGTTACAGGTAGGAAGATGACTCGCCTGGCACAGGAACAGGAGATATGAGCCATGGCCCTGTGAGACGTCCAGAATTAAGAGCAAATGCCTGGAGAAGTCCAGTTGCACAGAGCAGCGCCACAGCTCTTGTGAACCGTGGGCATCATCATCTCTCAGACTTGCTCCTCTGGTCCCGAGCACTCTGCCAGCATTTCCTACTCCACGAATGGCTACTCAGAGGAAGCACTTGGTGAAAGATTTCAATCCTCATATCACCTGCTATATCTGTAAAGGCTATCTCATCAAGCCAACTACAGTAACTGAGTGCCTCCATACCTGTAAGTAGTACTTTGCAAAACATTCCCTCCTTCATAAGCGATGATTCCTTGAAGCATTTAATACGCCCTCCATGCCAGTTTTTGTTTCCTTCTGCAGTGTTGCATGAAATACCATGTACTTTCTAATGGGGTTTCCAGATCATCCTTTCCAGATGCTAATCTGCCATCTGGGTCATCTTGAGGGTATGTCAACTCTGCTTAACACCTTGCAGAGTAAAAACACCCCTTTTCTTTCCCCCAAGCTAGTGGTGATTATAGTGGCTCTAGAAGGAAATATGTATCGCTGTGGCCTGGCTGATCCCTAGTAAGATCATTAGGATGGGTGTGATATTTTGATAATGTAACTAGGCTTTTGAAACTAGAGCTATGTATCTGTTGGCAGTGTGCATGATGGATACACCAGTTCAGTCAGTACTGGCTCACATATCTCTGTAGTGTGTTCATGGCACAATGCATAGAAATACTTGAAAGTTGGCAAAATGTTTATTTAAGGAGTAGATCTCTTTGAATGAAACTGACTTGGGAAAAAATAGGTTGTCTTATGTTCCTCATACTTATAAAACATTGGTGTGTATGACATATTAAACATATGAATACCCTATCACAGTCTTACGCAAGCTAAATTATTTTACTATTTTTTTTTAACATTCATTATTGATAGTTTGCTTGGACCTCTTGAGAATTTGTCATCTTTCCAAATAAAATTTAAATTTTTCTAAAAGAAGAATAAGGGGAGCTATATGTTTTTCTGGTAGCTTTCCCATTTTTAAGCCTTTAATAAATACCAATTGAAAGCCTTGTGTTAGCATTTCCTGTTGGTTCTGTGCAGTGCAGTTCTGTGCAGTGCAGTTCTGTGCAGTGTTGTTCTTGCAGTTGTTACTGTCTTCACTGTTAAATTTTACATTATGGTGTTCTGTCTCTAGTATGTCAAGCACTAGAAAATTAAAACAATTGAAGCCATTGTGCAGCAGGAAAATGACATGGGTGCCATCCTGAAAACATGGTGGGATGACTTGCACAACTGGGGTGCTGCAATGGATGGCTATAAACTCTTCAGAAGAGATAGGGAAGAAGAGGTGGGGAAGCCTGTGTGTTAGGGAGCATTTTGATTGTCGAGAGCTTAATGATGGTGACAATAGGGTTGAGTGTTTAGGGGTAAGAATCAGGGGGAAGTCCAACAAGGCAGATATCGTGGTGAGAGCCTGTTATAGGTCACCCAACCTGGATGCAGAGGCAGATGAAATAATGCAGTTGGGAGAAGTCTCACAATAGCTGTCTCTTGGTCTCATGAGGGACTTCAACTTTGCAGGTGTCTGTTGGAAATGCAGTACAGCAGAGAGTACACAGTCTAGGAGATTCCTGAAGGGTGTGGAAGATAACTTCCTGAACCAGCTGGTGCGTGAGCCAACTGGGGAAGGCACCCACTGGACCTCTTGTTTGTGAACAGAAAAAAGACTTGTGGGTGATGTAATGGTTGGAGGTCATCTTGGGCATAGCAATCACGATAGAGTTTTTGATTCTTAGAATGGCAAGGTAGCACAACTGCTACCTTTGACTTCCAACAGGCGGACTTTGGTCTGTTTGGGAGCCTGGTTGACAGAGTCCTTTGGGAAGCAGACCTGAAGGGGAAAGGAGTTTGAGAAGGACTTCCTGGACATTCTTCAAGAAGGAAATCTTAAAGACACAGCAGAAGGCTGTCCCCATGTGCCATAAGTCAGACTGGTGGGGAAGAAGACTGGGCTGGCTGAACAGAGAGCTTTGGCTAGAACTCAGGAAAAAAAAGGAGAGTTTATGACCTTTGGAAGAAGGGGCAGGCAAATCAGGACAACAATGAGGATGTTGTGAGGTTATTCAGGTTGAAAATTAGAAGGCCCCAAACCCAACTAGAATTTAATTTGGCTACTTCTGTAAAAGACAAAAAAATGTGTCTATAAATACATTGACAACAAAAGGAGGGCTAAGGACAATCTCCATTCTTTATTTGCTGCAGTGGGAAACATGCAACAGAGGATGAGGAAGAGGCTGAGGTGCTTAATGCCTTCTTTGCCTCAGTCTTTAACAGTAAGTCCAGTTGTTCTCCAGGTAGCTAGCCCCTGAGCTGGAAGACAGGAATGGGGAGCAGAATGAAACCTCCATAATCAAGGGGAAAAGGTAAGTGACCTGCTACACCTTTTAGACACACACATGTCCATGAGGCTGGATCGTATCCACCCAAGGGTACTGAGGGAGCTGGTGGAAGTGCTTACCATGCCATTTCCATTTATTAGCAGTCTTGGCTAACTGGGGAGGTCCCAGTTGACTGAAGTTAGCAAATGTGATGCCTATCTACAAGAACAATTGGAAGGAGGATCTGGAGAGCTGCAGACCTGCCAGTCTGACCTTGGTGCCAGGGAAGGTTGTGGGGCAGATCATCTTGAGTGCTATCACATGGCACATATAGGACAACCAGGTGATCAGGCCCAGTCAACATGGGTTTATGAAAGGCAGGTCCTGCCCGACCAACCTGATCTCCTTCTGGGACTAGGTGACCTCCTTAGTGGATGAGGGAAAGGCTGTGCATGTTTTCTACCTAGATTTTAGTAAAGTCTTTGGCAACATTTCCCACAGCATTCTCTTGGAGAAAGTGTTTGCTTATGGCTTGGATGGGTGTACTCTTCACTGGGTAAAAAACTAACTGGATGGCCAAGTCCAAAGAATGGTGGACCTACATCCAATTGGTTCCCGGTCTCAAGTGATGTTCCCCAGGGCTCTGTATTGAGACCAGTTCTGCTTAGTATCTTTATCAGTGATCTGGATGAGGGCATCAAGTACATCCTCAGAAAGTTAGCACATGACACCAAGTTGAGCCAAGAGTGTTGTTCTGCTGGAAGGTAAGAAAGTTATACAGAGGGATCTGGAGGGGCTGGATCAATGGTCTGAGGCTAATTCTGTGTGGGCTCAGTGCCAGGTCTGGCCAGGTGCTGGTTGTCAGCCAGCTGAACATGAGCCAGCAGTGTGCCCAGGTGGCCAAGAAGGCCAACAGCATCCTGACCCATATCAGAAATAATATAGCTAAGTATTACTATGTGTTTCATGGTATTATTCTTCTTTTTTTGAGTTACTTGGTAAAAGAATTTAAGTTCTGGAGGGGAGAAGTTAAGCAAAGTGTCTTTATAAGAACTTGAAATAAAACAGGAAGGAGAGAGGTATATTACCTATTATTGAATTATCTTTCCCTTTAAAGAAAACAGAAAAAATCCAGCACTTGCTTTTTTTTTTTTTTTTTATGGTTATAGTTAATGACCAGTAGTAACTTTTAAAAGGTTGGGGTGAGAGGAAAACAGTAGCATTAGAAATTAGCTCAGGCTTAGTAAAAAGTAGGTTTTGTTATGGTATCTTTCTGTTTAGATAATTTATGTGTGTATTTACTTTTGCTGCCATTATAAAACAGTGTCAGGAGGAGCTTTTTTTTTTTTTTTGTCAGCAGCATCTGTTTCTTTTGTTCGCTTGTAGATCGTGAGCTCTTCACTGAAACAGCTCTGCTACTGTCTACTCCCCAGATTGGCACACATGAATTTTACAGAGCTGCCTTATAGTTGCACAGGTCTCCTCACAGAAAAGATGCCACATGTTTTGGTCATTAAGTAGACCTCCAGGAAAGGAGGTGAAGTTTCTTTAAAGCAAAGTTAAGTTGCCAAAATACAAAGCTTACAAAGATGGAAAGGAAAATGAAAAACTTAAAGTGGTGATATGGAAGTCTTATGTTTGTAGAGTAAAAGGTGATCTGTATGTGGCAGTATTGAGGAAGATACTCTGATAAATTACTTTACACTTTGGCTTGTAGAAAATATTTAAGCTTTTTTAGTTGGCTGGAGGTTTTCTTTGGTTGGTTGGTTGGGTTTTTTTTATGTACAGGTACGGTCCTTCAATCATATCCAAATAGTTACCACAAAGTGCAATGATTTTAACAGTCCTTTAGTATTTGTCTTGTACTGCTAATTGCGGTAATTCAAAACAGTGTTGCACAGATGATCAAAATCTGCAGATATTAACAGTTTAAGAAGCAGCATGAATTCATTCGATATTGTGAGTACAATGTATTTCTCTTGATGAGAAGAAAAGCCTTGAAGTATTGACCTAGATGTTCTCCAGCAGTTGTACAGGAACTAATATGATCAGTAGTAACTAAACCAGTATTAATTCCCATAATCTGTTTTGCTGAAAAATGTTAAGTAGCAAAGTTCTGCTCTGAGGAATATGTTTCTTTTTAATAAGAGATGTTTCTGTTGGGTTTTTTGGAAATGTTGGACAGACAAGTCCACCATTTATTTACTGGGGAGAATAAGCACAACCTGGGAATCACCATTACAAATTTTCCTGTCTCTGTTGGGAAGGAAATGCTTGTATTACAGCAAAATAATTAATTACTCTGCAAATTCAGCAATTTGTTTCTTGTTTGCTATTTGCAACAGAATGGCTTTGTCTTAAGGCCCACCCAAGACCTTTTTTCCTAGTCTGTTAAACAGCTGTCAAGGATGTTCAAGAACTACTGGTTAAAGCAGGCTAGATGTGAGCTAAAGGGTATGTCCCATCCTGTCTCCTGAGTCACTCCATTGTTTAGTGCAGTGTGGCTTACTTGGAAAATAAACTTTCCTCAGGAATGTTCTTTAGTGTCCTAAAAAATATCAGACTGTTTACACAGTCTTAGAAGTGTTGGTTGGAAGGGACATCTGGTGGTTGTCTAGGCCAGCTTCATGCATGAGTCAGGTTAGTTGCCAACACTACACAACACTGTGCCAGGTAAAGCCATGGCTCTGTATAGCTGAGTTGTCAGTTTCCAAGTGTGGAGACCTTGCAGCCTCTCTCAGCAGCCATTTCCAGTGCTACACTATTTACACAGTGGAGAAGTTCTGAATGTCCTACCAAACAACTTGTCACCATTGCTCCTTGTGGTACTATTTGCCACTACCAAGGAAAGCTGGGCTCTGTCACTCCTGTGACTGCTGTTCAAGTGGTATAGG